ATCATTATTTTTAATAAAAGCTAAGGTAAGAAGATTAATTCCTATAAATTAGTTTAATCTTTCAAATGCACTCAGGGGCAATAAAACAAATCTCACTTAAGTCAAAATTGTCTGTATTAATAAATACCATTTAACAACACTTCGTTAATTTCATTTATAATCATTTGATAGTTATCAAAATTTCCGCCCAACAATAAACGACACTCAGCGCTTAAGTTACGGCTCAAGATCGTAAGTTCTAATCAAGCTATTGAATAAGAATAAGAATAAGAATAAGATATTGCAGGCTCTTGTATGTGTGAGTTAGTATCATTCAACAAGTTAGAGATACCTAAGGTTTCAACAAAGCGATCTAAAACATCCTCACCCTCAGAAACCAGGATTTTCTCCGCATAAAGCTACTATGTACGTAAGAGCTATAAGTGGTTGGAGTATTTAGGCTTTTTGCGGTTCTCCGCTGCTTTAGCGACAAAGGCCTCGTCATTCAAGCTTGCGTTGACATTAGAAGGGACAACAGTATCCATTTTAACGTTTACATTTATGAGACATAGTATGTACGCCTGGGCAATTTAAACCCAACTCCCATTAACCACTACCAGATGATCGATGCGACATTGCATCTTCATGGGACAAAGAAACTTAAAGAACACAGCAACAGATGAATAACAAAGTGATAAGAATTCCGTGAATATCAAGAAGGAAACTGTTTTTGAATTATTTAATTGCTTTCGCAAGACAAAGATTTCCGACATACTTCAGCAATCAAGACATCAAGGTAAATACAGAAGCTATGTAATTAAAACCATTGTAATATAAATCACGATCTTGCAGAAACGCTTTGTTAACATGCTCATAATTGAATCATAAAAACTCAAAGCTTTAATTGACCAAAAGCATAGCAACCCAGGTGTTAAAGCTAACAAAACTGAAGGTACTTTTAAATACAATTTAAAAGACGTATATCAAATGTTACGATATGCCAATTAACCTAAAAATATACTTATTCAAAGAATTCATTGACGAGAATAACATGCTTCCTGTACCTTTATTGAATTCTGTTCTATACAAGATATATTTTATTTAAAAAATGATCTGAAATGTGAAAATGACACCTGTGTGGCCGTGAGTATTCTTGATTTGCAATCCGCTTAATGTATTTATTATTTTTGATATTTTCCAACGTACCATCGAGGATGTAAGAGGTTCTTTGAGTATATGATTATTTAAATGTGAATAATGAAATTTAGAACATCAAACAAACAGTAACAAAGTGACAACCTCGACGACCCAACGGCATTATGGACGTTGGAGGAGGACGGGTCTCGACACCTATATTTCATAGGTAAGCAAATTACTTTTCAATCGTGATACGGATTAAATTCTATTACTTCATAAGGCATATTCCCCTGAGAAGAATGAGTAAGAAACTCTAAGGATTGGTCATTTCATATCACCAAATTTGGCATATCCTTTTTTTCCAAATTGGTTCTCGGTTCGCTAGACTCAAATGGATTGGCCTGCACACATATGCTGCATGTCAAGAGAGCTGCGGACAAAGACCATCACGGAGTGGATCCCACCAAACACAAGACGAAGACGTGGAAGATCCAGAAGGAGATAGTTAGACGCAACGAGTTTGATGCTTATATGTGATCTGTAGCAGCGTTAAATTGCGATGAGTGCAGAAAGGGAAGCCAGGCCTTTGCCCTGCAGTAGGATAGTAGCGGCTGAAAAATTAAAATGAAATGTAGTCAAACGAAATGGTTCTGGGTCTTATTGGTCTGGGTAGTAAGTAGGGTTGTTGCTGATGCAGGTTTTTACATATCAGCTGATTTTATGTATTAAAAAAATAAAACGCGAAAAATGAATAATGAATCCTATAAATCTATAAATTTATATTTTCTTGGGGTTTTTCTTTTTATATTTATATTTTCTTGGGGGCAATTCCAGGTTAATTCTTTCTTTCACGTCATAAACTATGTATAGATACACAGATTTGAATGCCCTCTATATATCAATTAATAAATACCTTGGCCGACTTAGAAGGGCTTTTGTATCTTTCATTAATTTATATATGAACGCCGTGCTTCAATTGACCAATTTAACTTGAGCTCTGATGAAACAAAATGTTCATAAACTAATATGCCGAAAATGGGGTCTTCGTAAAATTGCCTTTTCAGATATAAAGCGATAAACGTTGAAGGCTATGTTCTAACATCAAAGGTCGTACTTGCCATGAAAATGGATTTATCTTGCTTATTACGTTGCTTTTTTATAGCACTTTAATATTGAGAGCAATTATTAGAAGCATCAGAATATGAAGATGCTATGTTAATGGATGTACTTGAAAGTACTAAATATATGGAAAACTATGTTTAGTATAAAAATACACTGATCTGAAGGTAATGGGAGAACAGGGAAACGGAAGAGGAGTATTTTTTTACACGCGGCGTTTTTCAATCTGATTTTGTGAATCGATTTTGATGATTCTTTTTTTTGGAAAGAGCATACCTCATTATAGGTCCCATTTATATTTGAAGAAAATACTCGCATCTCAAAGGGTGGCAAACTAGGGGATGAATCTGATTTTGCGAATTTCCGCTAACCGATTTATATAAAACTTGGCAAATGTGTGTAATCCAACTTTTGAGGACAATTTTTTTTTTAAACTTATGCTGAATCCACTAATCATTGTAATTCCATATATTATACGCTCAAATGAGAGTACATTGCAAATGATTGTGTTAAAAAAATCAAGGTATATATATCATGATATATAATCATGTACTTCTGTCTGCACATTAGTAAACATTTCTTAGCAATTCTTCTCGCTAACAGTGAAAGAAAACATGATGATAAAACCTTCACGTCAAAGATCCATGCCTGTATCATTATACATCCCACAGCTGATGATAATGATGAAAACTGTTCAAAACTATCCATTCTAGTTAAGATTAAACTTAATAGCGAACCTACTTCATCACCCGATTCGAGTTCCTTATTGTTATTTTTGTTCATACTTATACTCCGTTGTTTTATTAGATGTATATTGAACCTACTTATATTGAATAGTTTTACAAATGTATAGGTAGTAAGGACACTTGTCGCACCCTCTATATTAAAGTGACTAACTCGAAAATAAGCGTTTTTCGGAAATTTATCAAATAAATTTAAAAACTTCATATGCCTTTTTTCATATGATACAGAATTAACGCTTACTTGGCTCGGGCTATGTACGTTGTTTTTATTTATATCTATTTTGTCTGCATCTCAAAAGTGTAACTTCTCAAATTTTGTCGTTTTGTTATTGAGAATACCATATTTCTGAATTTTTATTGCATGATTTACATTATCTTTTAATTTTAAGTTTCAGAATTAGTCGGAAAATGATACAATATTTATTATTTTCCAGATCTATCAACCAGAATTGCAAGATCAACCTAGTTCAGGCATCAACCTATGCAAAGCTTTCTAGTAAACAACTTTGTAGGAAAAACATAAAGACCAACAAAAAAGATTTTTTTTTGTAATATCAAGTGACAGGACGAACACGTCGTGCGCCTGATGGTAAGCTACACGCCTGTCCATAACAGATAACAGTTGTAGTGCCACTCAGAGATTTAAACCGCAAAGATCTAAGGGGCACTGCCACTGCGCCCGTCACCCTGAGGCATAACTTGACAAGTTCCATGTGCCTGTAATTTCACCAGCACTTGTACCCTTCAAAACCGGAACACAGTAACCTGACATTACTTCTTGACGGCAGAAATAGGTAAGATGGCAGTACTTCCCTGGACGAACTCTTTCACAAGGAGCTCTACTGCTAATAAAACATGTTAATTACAAATCAAATACAATTCAATTTAAATGTTGTACGGAAAGTTATAAATTTGTAACATTCTGCTTGCACTATTACCGTCGGTATAAATAATGTTACAAACGATAACGTTTCTAAATAGTTATGCGAATAAAATTACAGGTAAAAGATTGCATGTGATAGTGACTGGCTAATAAAAGATAATAAAAAATATATATAGAATCAGATTTGTTAAATCATGTTCGGATGGGTGCTTAAATTAGACTAATAACCTCGTTGTAGCGTGAAGCTGGTTTTTATAAGCAAAAACTGTATCAATAGGTAACATGAATATATTACTAATTAAGATTTCTTGTTACGAGTAGTAAGTTAATGCTTTATAAGCAATAAAGCAAATATGAAAATTATTGTAATATTACCAAGGATTTGTAATATAAAACCTAGATATGCGAAAAGTTAATGAGTTGTAATTAAACATAATTCTACGCAGAAAATAACTCTACCAAAACGACAATACAATAAAAACAGGACTTTAAAAGTATGATTAGAGGTATTTGAATTGGTATTACGAAAAACTAAAAGCACTTATTATTAACCTACCATTAGTTCGAGCACAAATAAGATTGCAGGCACCCAACGTGTCTCAAACGACAAAACATTTTAAAGACCTTTCCTTTAAATCTCCGAAACTATCTACGACACGTGACAAAACACGGTAATGGGGACTGACATTAGCCTATTTTCGAGAAGCGTTATTCAGTTTTATCAGATCCAAGTCTCTCCCATCACAATGCTCTGTCGCTTCGACCATAAAAAGAAAAAGCCAACTCGTTAGATACTGATAATTTCGTGACCGACTTCTATATCTTTGGACACGGAAAAGAAAAAGCAATAAATCTAAAAGATATCAGAAACGCATTGGTTCTGCTTTGGTAAACAAAAATGCTTAATGGTTTCGATAAGAAGCTTTTGTATGGTGATAATGAAAGAATACAAGTGATGCAAACAATTTCGTAAACATTGACTTGAAAATATTTTTTTAAATACAGTTCGTGACTTTAAATTCCGAGGTACAATGTAATGGTCTTAAAATTAAACGCAAAACTAATTAATGTCATAATCAGAAAACGTAATTAACCTGCGGACGGCGAAGATATTCAGAATAAATTAAACTTCAACTTACAACATTAAATTCCAATCCAGAAACGACTGCTCGGTAATATTTAATTACGAATCCATCACAACGCATCCAGTTAAGGAACCGATAGTCACAACACTCGAGTACAAAAAATACAAACAAGTTTCACTTCCCGTATCGAAACGACGCCAACGTTTCACACAAATTCGCGGTTACGATCGCAGAAGCGCTAGTAGAGCTTTCAACGGATACGTCCGACCCCTACCAGCGTCGCGGTGTGACTGCCACAACGGCTAGAAACAGGAGGGGAACAGGGAAGTGCGGAACGACGAGCGGGGGAAGAGGGAACCTCTCCAACCGAGGAGATAACTTTTGATCTTTTTGGAGGCATAGAAGATTTTAATGACGCTACATCTGGAGGTACTGAAAAAGTGCACGTCACAGTTCTAAGTGTTAATGCATGTCAAGGGCTTAGTAGGAACGATGTGTCAGAAAAAGGTTAGACGCGGGTGACATATTTAAAAATAGTCCCCAATAAACGTGAAGACAGACTGTTGGATTGATAGGTAATAAAAGTAAAAATAAACTGCGCCACAGATACATTTATGGTTTGGGTACAAAGAGGATTTTTAGATTAGAATCTCGGCAGACATCTCGAAATTGGAAATACGAGCCGTCTGAAGAATATTGCATTTTATATTCTTCCGTATTATTTTCACATCATCCAAGACGTCGGGGCAGACAATATTGCGCAAGGCGGTTTTTGTATCCCGCACATGCGAGGGGCTGTACAAAGGGCCGAAGCAGGTAGCACAAAAGCCGTACCCGGTTCAAGTTACAACGGACTCCTCATAGATTAATGACGGGAACATTGTGGAGTTAAGAACCCAAAAATTTACAACTGCATTGTGTTCTTACTGCAACAAAGGAGTACAAAAGATAGGATCAGCTTCTGTTATTACCTTATCGTTTATCGGGCTATGTGATTTCTCTCACATTTTGAGTAATACAAGTACCATTATCGATGGGATTTCTTCTAACAAGGTGGTCGCACAGATGTTTGGAAGGCGTACCGTTAACTAGAGTACAAATAATCGTATTGTTGAATCTCAAGCTTTCTTACATATTTCGTGAGATGATTTTGAATACACACGATTGAGTGTCCTGTATGGTTGCTTTCTAAAGATGATACAAAATGCAGCAAAAAAATATGTTCTTACATTGAAGATCAAAATCAAAGAACAGCCAAAACTTCATTTTAATTGCCGAGCTGTTCGCGTTTATTGTTGCAAATATCTACATGTTTTACAAATTATTGGTAGATGAGTGCAAAACTGTTTCTTCCTAACTAAGAAGTTGATAGTTCGAATCTCAGTAACGTCATGTACCTGCATGTACCTGGACTTTAATTTCAAAATTACATACATTTATGATGTATGTCTATCTTTCGCTGACGGTAAAGGAAAACATTGTGATAAAACCTGGATGTTGAAGACGGGTTTCAACTTTTGTGAAGCGCTTATCTCGCATCTGGTTAGGGTGGCGGACTATAGTCGGTCACTCGTTACTGGTGGACCCGAGATGACGGCGAACGTGTTCCGCGTCTGCCTTTTAAGATTGCTGAAGCTGAGACAAGAACTCTCTAGTCGGACCAATCACATGGTGAGGAGATGGAACAACGTAAGGTTTTAGTCGGTAGGAGTCCGAAGATTTCCTGACGTTAAAAAAAAAGGTGGCGGACTATGGCCTATGGTTCACGCCGTATCGAACCGTTGACTTCTCATATAGTTAGGTGCAGCATTTATCTTATGGCTATTTCATTCAATTCAAATATATTGGAATCGTCAACATAGGTTATAGCAGAAATATGAAATAAAATTATATTGAACTTTCCATGTTGTCTTAAGGCATACGAATTAAATAGTAAACAAAATAATTAATTAAGTTCCTATAGTATATCTCAGTGTATTCTATTGCTATCTAGTTTAAATTATTTCAGAATGTTATGTGTTAAATAATTTAGTTTGTGATTGTTGTTTTGAAATTGCCGCCAACACTTATAATTGTTGTGTTTACAATGTAGAACACCCAAGTCAAATAAGACAAAAATGTGTTGTGAACATAATTTTAGTGTTGCTAACAAATAAATGCAATGAAACAAGTAAAAGAGTATAAGGAACGTTAGAATTATACAAATTATAAAGTTCTTAGCTAATATCTGTGGCTCTACTGAAAAAGGGCACAAGTCAAAAAACGCAACTTTATAGGAAACGCGAAAAACAGTTAATGCTTATAATGATTCCAACTTAGGCTCGTTATACTCATATAAATAGATATATTACTAATGAATGTGGTATGGCCAAATTTCTAAATAAATTGTGCTTTATTAAATGGAATTACGCTTTTTTTTCTTGATATTTTAGTTTAAAAGATTATCTTGAATTGTACTTAAATTGAAAAAAAAAAAGTGTAAAAAGGTACAGCTGGTCAGATCATCGATATTCACCGAGTTTTCGTAATTTTACTTTAAGTTAATTAGTACTGAATAATAAAAAAAACCTGACCTCGAAAGTGTGTTGAATTACATCTATTTACCAAGTTTTATTGGGATCGGTTACCGGAAAGTGCACGAAACCGGATTCATTCTTTACTTTTCCACCCTTTTGTCTATCTGTGGTATCGTAGCCAGTTGAATGGATCTCGAAAAGGTTTTTTCTATTTTTATTTGAAGACTAATTTAATCGGGAAAATAAGGAAAACAAAACGTAAGAAGTCACTTCTACTTACTCAGAGTATGACTGAGTCTGTAGCGATTTGCACTGTCCATATGTATGGCCTAGATTTATTGTTCTCGTTAGTTTGGGTGTAATTTGTGGTTGTCTATGAGTGGTAGGGTTTCTCTAGTGCGGGGCAATGAGTGTGTGGTGTGTATCCATGGTACCCGCGACACAGATTTCGGCAATGAGTTTGTGTGTTAAAAAAAATTGTGAGTGACTTGTTGCTGTTTTATGTATCTACCTGACGAAGCCTACGTTGTGGATCGAGTCTTAGATATAAATACTATTTTAGCCTTGAAAAAGGTTCATAAAAGGTCCTTACCTATTTTTGCCATCAAGCAAATGGAACTTGTTAACTTATGTCTCAGGGTGACGGGTGCAGTGGCAGTGCCCCTCAGATCTTTGCTGTTTAAAGCTCTGTGTGGCACTGCAACTTTTATGGACAGACGTGTCGCTTACCACCAGACGAATGACCTGTTCCCGCAACTTGGTATTTTAAAAACAAAGTTAAATTTGCGATTGAAAAAAAGTACATTGTGTCAATAAATAACGGTTATTAGAAAAAAGCACACTGGCACTGAGAAGAAATCTTTCCTCATTAAAATAAAGAGGCTAAGTCACCCACTGTAATGAATAATGGGCATTCATTCCTTTGACCGGGGCTTGACGCCCTTTAATTTAGTTCTAATATTTCTATACTTGACGTTAGGCATAACGGTCGTCACTCATTGTTACGCCTGAACTTACAACATCTATGGAACCCAATGAACTTTTGCTGTTAAGTTACCGGTTTGAATAAGAACCTCCTTCATTATCAACTCATTACAAGACCCATTGAAGGGCACGTGTCATCTTTACATACTTTTCTTTATAGTTAGAATAATTGCTATCTAGTAATAACGGTTGCACTGTGTCGTATGTCTTTTGTTTTTTTTTGTTTGTATTTATTCTTGTGTACAATAAAGAGTATTTGAATTGTATTGCAAAAAATATTAATACAAGATCGAACACGCAAACACACAAAAAATCCTGCTGCTGGATTTGAACCAACGTCTTGTAGCAAATCGTACCAGACGCTATGCCAACTAAGCTACGGAACGAACCAGCGGACCTTAGGAATTCTTCTATGTACTTGTTGCAGACTCTATAACTGCCTCCGTGGCCGAACGGTTACCATGCCGGACTGCCACGCAGAGGTCCCAGGTTCGATTCCCGGGATGGGAGAGATATTTGTACGGCCTACATTCATGTCTCTCGTGAGTTTGGGTGTTATTTGTGATTGTGTGGTCATGGCACCCGTTTTATGATACTTGAAACAAATATTGCACAGGTACATGTGTCCAAATGTCTACTGTACGTATGTCTGGTCTGGGTGTTCTGAATAATATACCAGATTTAATTCCGTTGCTCTGGTACTCATAGTCCAGGGTTTTACCCAGTTAGATTACCAGGCAATCGGTGTGGTTATGTAGCATTATTATTGCTATTTAGGTACTATTATTTCAAATCGACAGCCGCACTTGAAATGTAAAAGCTTTTACCGTATTTTCTTTCAGATTTATTTTCCGATTAATTTTGTATTTATTCCGTCTCCAACGTTTATCAACAATCTCGCACGAATATTGTAAGTATGTATTTTGCACACTAAGTACTCATACATGTCTATAACAAACGAAATTTGTAATGTTTTTGCACTTTTAAAATGTATGACCAATTACTACAATACTATGTATAATATTCGCATTGACAAATTGTAATATCCAAAGTAGGTAAAACAGAATAATTTTATGTTACATTTTAAAATAAACATTTAACTTTCCCAAGAAAAATAGTGTGACAAGCGAACAGCCGTAAGTAATTTTTACTAGAATAAAAATTTTAAAGGTTTTTTTTTTATTAATTTCTGATAAACTAAATTTGTATTGAATTGATATTCAATTATTGTTTGTGAAATTACTCCACTAGTTTGTTATAATTTATTAATACAAAGTTAGAAAAAAATCCTTCGAAACCGTGCCAGACGCTATACCAACTAAGCCACGGAACGAACCAGCGGACCTCACGAATTTGTCTATGTGGTTGCTTTTCGGATTGTATTTGGTTTTCAATGACTTTGTAGCCGTAGCGCCATCTATGAGAACATCTATGAAAGTATTTTGTCACCCAGTTAGGTAACTTTACACCTGGCTAGAGATGTCGCTAATATTTGTAATTAAATTTGTAATGAATTGATATTCAATTTTTCGTGTTTCATATTTTAATGTTAGATACAATATTTTTTTATCTTTAAGTTGCCATACATTGTATTTAAGTATGTACAATCACCAATGAGCAATATTATTTTTTAAGACTTTAATCGCTCTTGTGAAGTTGCAGTTTTCCCTTTACACGTTTATTCGGTGGGGCCGTCGAAATATCGTACATAGAAACATCACAGAAGCTGTGTAACCTTTTGCGTCAAGTATTTGTTTCACTATCCAATAGCAACAGACCTC